CCTGGAATGCGAACATTCGCCTCAATTCGTGATATCCTCATTTCTCTATCCCTTTTAATCCAAAGCGGAGGCATATGTTTCGTTGAGGGGTTTTGGTATCCAACACATGCTGTGGTTTTTGACGGTACTTGCGAAGCCTCGCGGGAGGCTGCGGTTTTTGCCGTATCTCTGCGGGTTAGTGCTTCTTTTTCGTTAACCCCTACTTCTGCTGGTAATACATTTTGATTGCCAGGCATCTGCACACGTTTGAGCGTACCTCCTATATCGCATGTGATTGTGGGCACTTTTATTAAAAATTTGGTTTGAATGCTGCTTTTAGATTTGTCTAAGGGTGAAAGACAAGTCAGTTCGCCTGTAGGATCTCCTGTGGGGGACGGTGAGTTCTTATACGCTTGAGAGTAACCAGGCACGCATTGCCTTCTATCGTGCAGCAATATTGTTCTTATTTCTCCATTGAGGTCAATTTGAGTGTCCGTTTGCGTCCTCTTCTGCAACCGACCTGTATGCACTGCATGGACGTCTCTGCGTGATCATTCCATAAACTTTCACCGCTCATAACCACTTCTTGGGCGTTTTAGTTGAGCTTGCTTTGTTTCTTACTGTGGCAATTTGCTCTATCTTTCAATGGGCAATCTAATAATCCTTTCTTTACAAAGCCGAAGATGATAAAGCATGCTTTAAGGGAAGTGCATATAATAAACTTCTTACTGCCTTTGGACTTCACAGTCGACAAACCATTTACACATAGGGCTTTTGGTACCTAAGGCGCTCTGTGGTTTTCTCCGTATCCTACTGAGGTAGTACTTCTTTTCCGTTTGTCTTCCCATCTGATGTTAGTTAATTGTGATTGCAGAAGGGCCTCCGCGCGTTTGAACATGCATCCCAATTCTCACGTGATTATGGGAATTTTTAAGATTTGGTTGATTTATCCCCTTAATATGAGTGCCTAAATATAAGAAATGCAAGAAGGGACACCATTGTTGTCCCTTTTTAAGTATTTCTTGTCATCATTGCGCTGCAAACGGAGATTAAATACAGAGAATAGATCGGTTCACAAAAATAAATAACAATGCATTATTTTCGTGACTGTAAGTGGTATTTGAAGTAGTATGGAGTGCAAATATACTCTTACTATGTGCCTGCCGTGTGATTTGTGACGACGAGATTCTAAAAAAGACCTTTCCAGAGAAAGACATGCGGTGCAGCAGCCATGCTTTTCATATCAACGAATTTGCCTTAAATATAGTAGTTGCACACTAAATACTACCTGCTTCGAAACGTCCAAACACTCGGTTCCACTTTGTTGACTGAGATATGGTGCCTGAAGTTAAATTACCCGTGCTACTGATACCGTTTAAGTAGGTGTTAAACGTTGTAAATGGGGCTGGCGCAGCGTTAGCAGATTCGTTTATGCCCTCCAACATAATTAGGTATGCATCCCCCTATTAACGAATTGAGCTATCACAGATGCAGTTCACGTTGATTCTTGCTTCCTGCCTGCGAACCAAATAGTTCTTAGGCGCTTAATTATTACGTCGCTTGATTGTAGGAAAGTGTTTATATGTGAGTTCTGCGCCTGATTACGTATTGCGTTGACATTAGAAATCAGTAGAAATACAAACCTTGAATTTATGCATATCTCTCTTCAGTTGGAAGGAACTTTTCGGAAACAGACAGCAGCCTTCCAGACACACCTACTGCGCGGGAAATGGCCAGTGCTCTAGTTGACGATATTTTGGGCGAGTATGAGGCCTGCCCTGATAAAGGTGTCGATCTACTTCGAACTGATGTTTCAGAAGGTGTTTATGCACTTGTCGGCCTATTTGCTTTCTGTCCTGGCAACGCTTTTTTGAGTGTGATTTTGCTAACTTTAACAATCCGCACTTGTGCCATTTTTACCTTGCTCCAATTCAGCTGTGCGTTTGCTTTGTGACAACTGATTTGGTCGAAACTGCCGGCTTGGTGGCTTGAAAAACCTCATGATTTCGTCACTTTTTCTGATTTTAATATCCAACCCCATGTTAGCCTAATCCAAAATTGCAATGCATTTTGCCTTGTCTCTCCTTGAACACTAAGGGATATTATCTTGTCCAAGTAAATATTGGCTCAAATCACTCATGTTTTAGATGAGTAAATTAATCACCCTGGAAAAACCTGTTGC